CGGTTGCTGTCAGTAGGGCTGGTGCCCCTCCAACAGGGTCGGTGGCTTCTGCGGGTGCCCCCCCAGATTCAGGAGGCACCAGTCACTCATGTACAAAGTAATCCCCGAAGCCATTCATTTGTGCCTTTGCTCCGTTTCTAAGGACAGGATGATTTGCACTGAAGTATGATACAGAACCTTCTGGTTTGGCCAAAAATGAATGCTCTGACCGTGCACACAAAGCACAAGCAAATACTTGGGATAAAGCCTTGCATTGTCACAGCTTCTTATAAAGGCTGCTGTGATCTTTACCTGTAGACTAACTAAATCAAAGATGGATAGCATGGGCTTTTGTGAGCCCAAGCTCATTTCATTGGATGTTTTGAAAGGATATTTGATCATGTGTAACGAAATGAACTTGGGCTCATGAAAGCTCCTACTATACATCTGACTTCGTTAGTCTACAAGGTGCAAATCTACCCTGCCTTCTGCCTGACTTCAGACTAACGTGGCTAACTACTTCTCTGCCGTGATCTTTTCCAGTCTGGGGGTGTAGGGGTTGGGTGACCTTATTAGGTGGATATGTGACGTTTTCCAGGGGGAGGAGGACATTTGGTAATCTGTGGTATGTGCATGCTTAAGAATCTCTCTTTTTGTACCCGGGTAATCTGTTGGGGGTGGGGAACAAGTAAAAACCCTCTGCCTATCATCATCATTTCTAGCCGTACAATTTTTATTCTTATAAGGAATCAGGACCAGCATATTGCAGTTGGGTGGGGAATATGCAGCCCCGTGCCTGGGGGAGGAAGCTCTGCAGACATGTCTTGACGGACAGAGCCATGACACCTTCCTCAATGCTGTGTGGGATGGTTTGTTGGCCTCGGAGGTGCAGGGACCGCATGTCTGGCCCTTGCAAGTGGTGCAGGTTTCTAAGGAAGCCTGGTTTTGTTTTCCCTTCCTCCCCACATAATATAGTGTAAATGGAACTGAGTTCATAGTGGTGTGAAATTGTATCCGTTTACTCCTGGTAGGTGGGGAGGGGTTATCCTCTGCCATCGATACAGAGCCCTGAAGCAGCTGGTCCACCCACAGAGCAGCCCAGTGGACACAACATTGGCACCAGTCTATTAGTGCTGCTCCTGGAACTATCTGGAAGGTTTTCTTTTGAGTGAGGAAAATGACTCCTTTCCACTTGAAAGCTTGGGCTACCTTGCAGTGCTCCCCTCTGTGTCTGTCTAAAATTAGAGCCCAGTGTGAAGGGAAAAAAAATCTAAATTTCTTTCCTAGCAGTTCAGCCCACCTGTGCTATTCTTTTATTAGGGCAATTTAAAGGTGGATCCATACTTCCCTTGGCTTCCTCCCTACTCTTTATTAAGCTGTAAACACAGCTGAACCTCTGTCTCTGTTTTTTTTTTTTTAGCACAAAGGATTGATGCACCTTTTAATCAGCTTATTAAGCTGTCTTCATGGTGAAGTCCTAGTCTTTCAGATAGTTAAGGAGCAGTTGGGCCAAGACAACAAGAGCGGTGTCATGCAGAGAACCAGTGGTCAAGTGTCTGATCTGTGCCACGGCACTGACTGATTGTCTAACTTTGTCTCTTCCAGGCCGGGTTTCCTTTTTCACCTCTGGGTCAGAGAACCTTCATCGGGTGGAAAAGGTTCGTTGGGGCACTCGCTATGCCGTCACCATCTCCTTCACTTGCAATCCGGACCATGGCATTGGGGATCCAGTCTTAACGTAACCCTTCCTGGGACAGAATGGGAGGTCAAATGGAATGACACAAGCCCTGCAACACAGAAAAGAAAAGAAATATAGATAACTTGCTATATGAATTCCCACTCAGTTTCTCAATTGTGTAATACTCTAATGTACTGCTTTGTATTCACACATCCTCCTCCATAAACATTGCAAACAGTGCCTTAACGACCGCATTTAATTTGGTATGTACACCTGGAAATGATTTGTTTTCTTCATGTTCTAATGGGTCAGACATCAAATCAAGGAACCCCTGGTTTTCTTATTTAAGGATACTTCACTTTAAAGAATATGAAGAACATATTGGTCCACATTTTGCCATTCCTTGCCTCAGTGTTTTCAATATTGCAGTAATATTGCAATGGTGCAATATTATTTAACACTTTAAATGTTGCCACATCCATTTAGTCACACCATCAAAGTTAGCGGATGAGTTTGGGTGTTGCTCTGTTGGCCACACTAATACCAGAGAAATGCATTCTCCTTGACATGGGCATTTATTTGTGAATGCACACCTGTGGGTTGGCTATGAAACTTACTTGAAATGTTTTAAAAATTAATACAGATATTTATAGCTAGACGCATTGGAAGAAAAAAAAAGGTTTCAGCTGACAGGCTGGAAGTGTTTGGTATAAATCAGTAACGACTGGATTTGGGGGAAGCATTTCTAGCAGTGCATGAAGGATACCAAGAGCGCCAAGAAATTGCATCCTGTTAGCCTGGGTTGAAGTATTGTGTACCTGGCCCTTTATAATAAATATGAAAGTGATTGTAATATTAATTTACTGGAGCTACTGGGAAGTTAGGCTGCTCAGTTTAAGTGCCTTTGGGGTACATCATCCTTCTCTGATTTAGGGTATGCCTGCACTGAGATCATCACAGGACTTCAAACATACCTGCGAAGCTGGGTGAATATTCACTTATTCATGTGGCTGGCTACACTACCTGAGCTGAGGTAGGTTCACACAAGCTGGAGGCACTGTGATATAGGTATACCCTTCTAGTGGCATTCTCCAGAGTTCTTAGCACTGGCTTCACTCTGCTGCTATGATTGATAAGTAAAACTACTTCCACTGATGTCCCCTAGGGCAGATAGAGGCAAGTACTGAGCACTTCTATAAATCATGCCCAAGATGGACTTACAAAAAGTGTCATTCTTTCTACTTTATGGTTCCTACAACCCAGATTGTTGTTATGGCACCAAGGCACTCAGGAACTTTTGGTTTTGGGCCTGAATTACCTTTATTTTCTGGATTGAAGGGAACTCTGGATCTGTGCTTATGCTCCACAACATGTACAACACTGAAATTAAAGAACAGTGTTTAACTTCTGGTTTATTTAGTATGCTAAATTGTTCAGAAGTCTCTGAGCAGTTTGCTTGGGTCTAGTATGAAGGTGTGCCCTTAACCGTACATGCTACTGTGCAGTTTGTTCACTTGGTTAAGATCTGTTTTAAAAACTTGAAAAAGAGTAGTTGCACCATAATACAAATCAAGTAGCAAAACAATTTACTAGTCTTGTCACATACCTTGCTTTGTTGTTGTAATTAAGGGATATTCAGATTAGCATTTTGGTAATTTAATTGTAAGGGAAAAGAAACTTCCTCAATTAAGTTTGATGCAAATCTGTTGAATCTTACAGTGTAGTGAGTATCTGCGTTGCTTCTGTGCAAGTCTCTTGTAATTTGCTTCTGGGAAACTGCTTTGATCACCTGCACTTCAGACTTTGGGTTTTTTTAGAATCTATTTATGACCCTGGAAATACCTAAATCCTAGAGGATTAAACTGTAGCTCAGTATACAGGGGGGCTCTTTCGACTTTGCAGCTGTATTGGTTTTGTAAATAATGTTATCAGTTGATGTGCCAGCAAAACAAGTCAGTAATAAGTTTTTTTCTGGGTGTGCTCAGACCTGAGAGAGACTTTCATATAAGAAGAAAGTAGAGGAAAATCTGGATATGAGGAAAATAAAATTAACTGGATACCATGTCTTAAGACTTTATACAAACCTGCTAAAGTCAAAGGTAAGACTTTCTGTGAGTTTTAGATCAGGGTTCTAGTGTACATTATGTGCAAGGTCAGATGAACATCAGCAGATTCAGTTAGTTGAAGTTTGGTTACTGAAATGATCTTGCACTTTTAAACATGGGGCCAGGTCCACATAATATTTGGACACCTCAATTACTTTGTGAACCGTAGTTCTTTAAGTTTGCATTGCTCTGTTATAGTAGAATTTTCATTGCCAGATATGTCATGTCACCTCTGTGAACCCATTAACATTGCAAGATTTGATTAGTGCTTTGTCACCTTAAACTGTTTATTGGTTATTTCTCTCTCTCTCAGGCTCTTATTTGTGCTGAATGAAAATGACACATTTTTCAGAGCTGCCCTTTTATAAAGCACTTGTTCTATCAACAACAGCTATTAAGAGCATCTCTACACAATGCAGGGTTGGGGCATGGGGAATTTCAAGCAGCTTCTTCATGTTTTCACATTTCAAAGTTACTGCCTACAATAATGTCCACAGAGCACTGTGCATCTCTTTCATACTGTAAATCTGATTGACATTAAAAAAATGTAAAAGCAACTTGTGTATTTCTGTTTATAATCAGTGGGGTTGGAGAGGCTTCTTTCTAGACCTGAGGAAGAACTTTGTGCCTAAAAGCTTGTCTGACATCTCTCCCAACTATAAAGTTGGTCCAGTAAAAGACATTGCCAACCTGCCCCTTCCTTATTCCCCATCATTAGCTAGTTAGTTTTTTGTCTTAATACTGATGTTATCAATTTGATAATCAAACCTGTGCAGTACCACTGACACAAAGTCCACTTATGCTCTGTACCTGGTACAAGAATCCTTGTATTTAAAAAAAAAAAAAAGGCAGCACAGTAATTCAAGCCTCTCTCTCAGAATTTCTGTACAGCCATGAAGACAGTGGAGGTGGGTATAAGGAAATGCAGTCTAATCTAAAAAGATTCTGATCGTGACCTCTAGGTACAACAGAATAATCATGTGTAGAAAGGTGCCAATTAGATATTCATGAGGCAGATTAGGGCTGCAATATTTCAGGGTTCATTAGCAATAAATTTGAGTTAATTTATTTTAGGTCATTCAAACTGGTTGCGATCCTTTAATTGGTTTTTAAGTTACAGAATGCTTGAGTTTACCTTCAAGTTTTAAACTTTCCAATTTCTGCTGGAACTAATTTGTTCTTTCAGGCTCAGGCTGTTCCTCCAATTGGAAAGTATAGACTGTATCTTTAATGTTCTGTTGATGTAGGAGAAAAAGGTCTTTTATTAAACTGATGCCAGAGTCCAGAGGTGGGCAATTCTTTTGGGCGGAGGGCCGCTTACTGAGTTTTGGCAAGCCATCCAGGGCCACGTGGCAGGCAGCCAGGGGCAGATAAATATTAATTTTCTAAATTTTTTAGAGGCCCCGCGAGCCGGATAGAATGGCCTGGTGGGCTGCATCCGGCCTGCGAGCCGCATTTTGCCCGCCCCTGTGCCAGACTGTTCTATTAAACAAAATGATGCATACCAGTGAAGACAAGTGATTCAGCTTTTCCCCTGAAGTGTATTAGCATCTCGTTTTAAAGAATAATGCTTAAAACACAGTATTCTTTTCGGGTGGATTGTAGGAGGGGGTGTTTGAAAGCTCAGTGTGAAGCAGGTCTAATTCAGAAAGAGTTTAACAGTCCAGTATCCTATAATATATCCTTATATCATATAGCCTTGCATCCAACACATGAGGAATCAGTGCAAACAGGATCATGAATTTACACCAGTTGTTAGCAGGTATAATGAAAGGCTGAGAATACTGGTGTGTAGTAATCATGGCTGAAAGACCATTAGAAGTAACCAAAATGAAAGAGGAAAGGAGGGTGAAAAGAAGTTCAACTTTCAACCTTAAGCTAAACTAAAGTGAGATCCTTTGAAATGTGAGACAGCAAGGACATATGAAAGGTGGCGGCACAAAAATGGAAAAACGAATAATTAGGAGCATAAATGAATAAGATCAGATGAAACCTGGTTTCTTTCCAGGGTTTCTACACACTATCAGTGCTGCTGTGTCGTAGGTTTCAGACCTGTGCTCTGTTACAGATGGACCAAACCAAAATCCTCAATCTCCACCAAAGTTCTGAACAAAGGCTTATCTGAGTCCACATGTCCTGGCCAATTCAGCTCTCTGTAATGGACTGTACCAAGACTCCAGATCCAAACTCTTCAGCACTTGCAGAAGCTGGATCTAAACAACTTGAGCCCCTCTGAATTTCCTTGAGGTCTATGTAGGGTCTAGTAGATATCTGAATTACAGTGTTTTTGTAAAACCCATAATATTATATTTTTATGAAGATCCTGGAGGACCAGCTGGTATTTTTGAAAGCAGTTTTGCTGTGTGATCTGGTGAATGATTTAACTGTCTCTGGGCACATCTACATGAAATGTTTACTGTGGAGTTGACTAATTAGCTCTGCAGTAAATGTCTTTGCATCTACATGTGTGGCCCTATTTTTCAGTGTAGTACTTGTAAATACTCCACAGTTTTTTACTGTGCAGCACCGCACATGTAAACACTGACCTGGCTGGCTGGGGCATGAGGGTGCTTCAGTACAGGGCCGCTGCCTGCCTCTAGTCTGACACTGGAGCACCCTCATACCCCAGCCAGCCCCCTCGCAGTACATTGAATAAGGTTGGAGCAACCCTGGGCTAGCAGGCCGACCACCCCCGTTTCCCTGGACACCCTGCTAGTCGGGGCTGCACCGCCCAGGCTCAACGTGCTCTGGTCCCAGATGGACGTGGAAACACAGCGCCTGGGAGAAATAAACTCCAGCACAATATGCACCAATTTATTGCACTGCATTAATATGCATGTGTAGAGATGCCAAATAGGTTCTAGTCATTAGTCCTGTTGCATGGGTAACTTCACACCATAGTCCTGATGTCTCAGGTACTTAGATGCTAGTGACTTCATGTTGCTGAATTCAATGGAACTATTTCTGTGTAGTTACATGTCTCTCATGTTGCAGGACCATTGTCTGCCTTTAATTTCAGTATTGCAACCACAGCTCAGCAAATGTAGGCTGATATTCTGGCTAATTCGAGATTTTCCTAAAAATGTATTATCTACATGAAATACAAAGTCTGCCCTTGGGTGTTTTGCGAATCCAGGAATATGAGAGAGGAAAATGTTCTTAAACTGGATTTAATTCACCTTCCTATTTTAATTTTCCTTGTATTAACACATTCATAGTCCATAGTCTGAAAAATTTCAGAAGTGATGCTATAATGAGCTACTTTTAAGATCAAGGTATAGCTCATATTTTTCATGCAGTCTTAATGTTGGGCCTTCAAGAAAACTTAGTGTATAGATTATTTCCCTGGTGATAGTTCATCATTTTGAAAAGTTTATTGAGCAGAGAAGACTCGTCACCTATGCACACCCAAAAGACAGAGTATAAGGTTGGCTGGGCACAGGACCGGTTTCCATCCGTTCGTGAATGCCTCTGACACTTGCTGCCCACTTTGTGAAGTGGTAGAGCAGTCCAGGTAAGTTGTTATACTTGCTGGCTAGGGACAGAAGTTGCACATAAACTGGTTTAAGTGATCAGAAACTGGTTTAAACCTGTAACAGGACAGAAGTTCAGTGCACATAAACTGGTTTCAAAATGGCTGAAACTGGTTTAAGATAAATCTGGTTGAATGTAGTATCAGACTTAACTGATTTGGGTCAAACCGGTTTATGAAACTTCCGTCTCAGGCCCCTTCCTGGTTCAAATTAAATCACAGTCCCCCAGCATCCCAGCATGCTTTCCAGCTCTGAGCTGGGCTGTGCTGTTTGCTCCAGCAGAGAAGGGTTGGTGGGGGAGGCAAACCCAACTGGGGTCTAGGGCCAGGGAGGGGAGTTAAACTTCTCTTCCCCCAAATAGAGAGCTGCCCTGCCCTGCTAAAAACTTATTGCTGGCTGTGACTGTGGACTACAAATCCCAAAGGCACCTGAAAGCAGGAAGAGGAAGTGATGAGCAACTCTGCAGAGTCCTGATGCAGTGATTGTGGACTGCAAATCCCAGAGATCTCAGCGGGCAGCAGGAAGAGGAAGCAAACACATAGCCCATGCTGGCTACATGCTCTAGTGTCCCCCGGCTTCTGGCCTGAGCCATTGCAGGTTTGTGTCTACAGTTCCTGCATCAGAAGTGAATGTCTGTCTAGTTGTTTCTCAGCTTAATCTCTGCAGTTTAGACTAAACTGCAAAGACTGAATCGATTCAGCCTTGGGCTTTTTGACTGTCTGTACTTAGCCACAACAGTTATCAAATACCAAGCTTTATTTCTTGTTACAAAATGTTTCTGTAAGTGAAAGGCTTATTTCCCCTCTTCACTTAGTTTACGTTTTTATAGGGTATGCAGAACTGGAAGTTTCTTTGTCCAATCCACTGTGTGGTAACTGATTGCCATTTGTCCTTAAGCACCTGTGTGGGCACTTGTTCTGTCACCTTTGATCATCTTCCATTTGGGTGTCAGGTGTTGATCTCTGGTTCCAGGACTGGCTGATGGACAAAAAGATCAGTTTCTTTACTCTGGCCTATGACCTCTAATTATTCCTCTTGACTAAATCCTGTCTGCCAGGTCTCCATTGGACTTTCATTTCCCTGCCAAAAAGTAGCTACATTATTGCACCCTAAAATTCTACAATATGTCTACAACACATATTGCAGCCTATGCACAGCAGTTATTTCTGTGAGTAGATAGATTTTGAAATGGTTTTGGATATTTTTATATTAAGTTCTACAAAAGTGAGATCACTTGTGTGGTCAGTGTGTCAGGATCTTAAGCTTACATTATGTCCATGTGTAAATTTATGAACACATGACAAGAGTTTGACTCTGGTAGCTGATGAAGGTCCTAAACAAGGGGAACATAGCACCCAGCAACAGCAATGATTGTTAAATGGGCAGACTGAAGGCTATATATAACATGTAGATATATAATTTTGGGCCTAGTGCAGCTTTCATGGGGCCCAGTGTAATCCAGATTGGACCTTTTAAACAAGGGTTTCTCAAACCTAAATTGAATGAGTAAAAAGTGGTACTTTTGCTTTATCAATTTTTATTCAATTTGATCATTCATATTTCTGAAATTAAAATGGCACCATCTCCTAATATTAAGTGCATATAGTCCATAAGAAGGTGAGAAAAAACTCCTAAAATTTATCTGGCTTATTTTCAGTTCTTTTTATTATGATTTTACATCATTGTGAGATTTTACAGCTGTCTCCATACTTGCTTTTGAAAAGGTAGCTTTATCCTAGAGTTGCATGGCTTTTTTCAGTCACAAGCAACTGAGGTCATTCTGCTTGGCTCCTTCACATAATTGTCTAAATTCTACCCTACTGCCAGGTATTGAGCTGGGTGGTCACTACAGCATCTGTGCACATAGCTATTTTTTCTCAGTCATACTCAAGAGAAGCTGGCTTATTTAATACATCAATTATACTATGTCTAAACTCAGTCAGCGTAACCAATTAATCTCTGAAAGGGCCTTTAGCTGAGGAAAAAATGCTGTGGTGTGTAGCTTTATTTAATAGGGTCTTTCT